GTAAATGCAATTACATTTTCCCCCCTGTGGAAGCTTTGCTTAATGATGATTTGCTGTCATTCCCCTCCCCTCCTCTCCCCTCTCCTCCCATCTTCTCCCTCTGTTCTTCTTCCTTTCCTCTCTCCCTCTTTGCTCTTTCTTTTCTTCTTCCCTCTCCCCTCCTCCCATCTTCTTTTCTGTTTTTCTTTTTTTGAATTAGTGATGGTTATTTAGTCTCGATTGAATGTAATATGGCAACATTTTTTGCTTTTGAACTAAAATATTGATTGAAACCTCAATAAGCTGAAAAGTATTTTGTCTGAATGACCCAACTTTTACCTCAACTTAGTTCCACTTAGTGATGAAGAACCCACAAAATTATCTTCATTATGACACATTATAGAAAGATACACAGATCTGATCTTTAACTGACAAAAACATCTTTGAGTAAGCAAGATCTCATCTAACTCCAGATAGGATATTTCCCCCTTATTTGTCCCTAAAGTTCTGTTTCTGATGGGTTATATTTCATAGATTCTTAAAGGAACTTTTGGTAATTCTGTACACACACACACACACACACACAGAGAGAGAGAGAGAGAGAGAGAGAGAGAGAGAGAGAGAGAGAGAGAGAGAGAGAGAGGCATACACACACAAAGAAAAACCCATGAGAAATAGACACTATCAGCTGATTCTTACACTAAGCAATGCTTAACTAGGATATTGACAAGCTAAAAATTATGGAACATGTAAGCATCTGGGTAGTTATGGGTGTGCAAACAAGTATAGGACTGCTCTGCCCTATCAGCTCGGCAAAAGAACGCTTTGGGGAGGAGTGGAGGAGGGGCTAGCTGTGGTAATTACAATTGGATGGTTATAGGGGTATTGACTATCAAGGGATCTGCCTATTCTGCCATGCTAAAGATGCTAGACTAGTTCCAGGAAAACACATTTCAAAACAACAGAACAAATCCACAAAACACTAAACACATTTTCAATAGACAGGTTTAGGCAGAGGCTATAAGGCAAATTAGGGAATTCTCTATAATGGTCTTCTCTATCCCTGGAAAGTTGGGATAGATATCTTCTCTTTCCTCCTCCCCCTCCCCCTCCTCCTCCTCTCCCTCCTTCTCCTCCTCCTCCTCCTCTCCTCTCCTCTGCCTCCCTTCTCTTCCTCCTCCTTCTGCTTCCCACTGAGTCCAATTAGTGCTGCCTGTGAATGGAACCCAGAGCCTCAGCATTTAAAAAAAAATTTTATTTAATAACCATATGATTAGAAGAAGCATTCACTACAGCATTAACATATTCAATAACAATTTCCAGAGCAAAGATGCATCTCTTTCAAAATTAAGCCTCAAGCATTTTAGGCAGTGTAACACACATCACTGAACTACATTCCCAGTCCCCATGTGGTACATTCTTTTTTTTTTCTTCCTGTCTTTTCGAGACAGGGTCTTCCTGTAGTACCAGCTGGCCTGGAACTCGCTATGTAGACCAGACTGGCTTTGAACTCACAGAGATCCACCTGTCTCTGCCTCCAGAGTGCTGGGACTACAGGCATGCACCACCACCCTGGGCTTGGTTGTAGCATTCTTAATAAATAAAATATTTTTTAAAGGGGGCTGAAGAGATGGCTCAGTGGTTAAGAGTACTGGGTGCTCTTGCAGAGGACCTGGGTTTGATTCCCAGCACCCATATGGTGGCTAACAACTGCCCACAACTCCAGTTTCAAGGGATCCCACACCTTCTGAACTCTGTGGGCACTGCACGACATGGATGCACTTATGTACATGCAGGCAATACACCCATAC